GTATGCGATGTGTGGTTTTGCACGATGATTGAATTTGTATGATGTTTCAGTTTCTGTGTTTGTTTTTGTTTGTCTGTCTGTCTTTCTGTCTGTCTGTCTGTCTGTCTCCCTCTCTGTGACTCTGTGAGTCTGTCTGTCTTTCTGTCTGTCTGTGTGCCTGCCTGCCTGTCTGTGTGGCTTTGTGATTGCCTGTCTCTGTGTGCCAGCGCGTGAGAACCTAACAGCAAATCACCGCCCTATTTCCGAACTATTTTCTAAAGGCTGTGGCCCATGAATTGAAAGCCCACTTGCTTTGGTAGGGCCCCCAATGTGCATTACAGAATTCGATCTTTGTCCCAGAGTTCTTCAAATGCTGGGTGGGGCGTCATCGCATCTTTTGAAGGGCTTGTCAAAATGAAAACTGGGGGAATTGCCCAACATGGACACTTACTAGTGCGTTGTTTTGACACTTGGGTAGAACATGTTTTTTGCGACTAGGGTACCTGAAACAAAGCCGTACAAGGACACCCATGGCAGACCCTACAAGCATTTCAGATTTTGGCCTCTCCAACAAATGAGCATTGAAACCACTACAACTTGGAAATGTCCCATTCCCTTGCTCATAGGTACCATTCTTTCATAGATATCCTCTCAGGTAGAACTAGGGCAACGCTCAAACCACTAAACCAACAACAGGTTAAAGGACCTGTGCAGGAAAAATACAGCACATCCCAACAGTTTTGGAAATAAAGAGATCCCTCAATGTCCTTGCCAAATGGACTGGTGAATGATTTGCTTCCCACCATGCAGGGTTCCTGTTTATTAAATGTCCAACCCAAAATCAAATGTCCATCGCTTTGGATCCGCAATTGATTCAAATGGTCAGGCGCTGGCTCCTGCGCGCTGCCGCCCCGGGTTGCATCATCGGACGACTCGCCTTCCGAGCCGAAGCCCAAGCGCAAGCCGAGGAAGAAGCCGGCGGCAGCAGTGCCGTCGGATGATCACCTGCCGTTGGGAGGTGGCGGCGGCGGAGGAGATGGAGGGGATGATGGTGATGGCGGAGATGGAGAGGAGTCGGGCTCTTTGGAGGGGCTGGATGACCTTCTCAACCTCAAGGATGGGAAGCGGAGACCCCTCAAAAGGCCGGCGGGTGGCGGCAAGAAGAAAAAGCCAGCTGGGAAGAAGACAAAGAAGGCCTGTTTTGCTTTAAACCTTGAAACCCTTCGGGATTAGATTCCTTGCTAGGCGATGCCGTTTGAGTATCTCATCGAGAACCAAGCTGGCCAAGCTGGTGGTGATATTGGGAGGTTGTGACTGTGATTAAAATAACCCTGAGTCTTGCTTCTTGGCAGGATGGTTGAGCCATGCGAAACCTTGGGTGAGCCACTTCAGGACTTGAACATTTGAACCTCTTACTTTTAAGCTTTGGAGTTTTGCAGGACCACCTGGTGCCCGGTGACCTTGCAATGGCACAGGCTTGGGTGAGGGGGGACTGGCGTGACGACGACGACGACGACGACAACAACAACAACAACAACAACAACAACAACAACAACAACAACAACAACAACAACAACAACAACAACAACAACAACAACAACAACAGCAGCAACAGCACAGCCACAGCAACAACAACAACAACAGCAACAGCAACAGCAACAGCACCAGCACCAGCAACTGCAACTGCAACTGCAACTGCAACTGCAACACCAACAGCAAGAGCAACAGCAACAGCAACTGCAACAGCAACAGCAACATCAACAGCAAGAGCAACAGCAACAGCAACAGCAACTCATCGTAGCGTCGGGTTGCATCGACCAGCATCAAGCCCCCACACAGGGTAGTATGTGTCTGTCGCCTCATACAGTGTCTCGCAGTTGGGGCTATGCACCGAACCTTCTCCTGCAGGAGGATCTCCATCTCTTGAGGGTTGGCAGTGTGGAGAGCCTCCTTTGTGGCTCATTCCCGAACTGGCCAATCTTCGACAGCACGGGCCTTTGTGTAATCGGCCGGCCATTGTTGGCAATCACAGACACAATGCGCTGTCCTTTGAATTGGGGTTGGGCCCCGGGTCCGAACAAAGATGGTGAGAACGTCAAAGAGCCTTTTTTGGGTTGAACAGCCCATGATCTTTAAGTTACCCAAAAGAGTTCCCCATGTCCCCTATTTAGAAAGCTTCACCTGAGAAATAGCTTCCTGTGTTGATTTCAACCCCGACCAATTTCTTGCAATGCGACAAGCCCAGATCTGAGGGAGCCAAACTTTGGAAATTGGGGCAAGTGAAGAATTCAATTGTCATGATATTGAATAATACTCAAACCTCAGCTGTATTCCCTTTAGGGCGCAACGGATTGCTTAAAATCGTGGAATGTGCATTCCATGTTTGGTGCAAAAAAGGAACTTTGATTCTGGCTCACCCCCCCTTTTCAGTGATGATGAATCGCAATGAAATAACCACCTAGGCCCAAACAATGTTTTGCTCGGCCAGGCTGATGAGGCTCACCGCTTGGCAGAGAAGGCTGGGCTAGAATTTTCACCCCAAACAAGGTGGACTAGTGTTCTGTCATTAATTGAAAGAACACCTGTCCTGATGTGTTTGGCCAGGGGGACACCCAATTGGATGATGATGCCTCATCCATTCGATCATCGATTCCAGACAACCAACTTGGTCTTGAATCACCCTGGAAGGATTCTTTGCAATGCCCACATGGTGCCCAAACAAACAACTATGTTTGCCTCCAGGATCAGCCCAAACCCCGGCTTGGCGACCTGGCTTGCCTGGAGGAGGAGCGCCAAGGCTGCAAGGCTGCTGCCATCATTGCCAATCCTGATAACGTTGCAGGAGAGCTTTCTCACTGCGAATGCTGGACCTGGAGATTACTATGATGGTATGGAGGCCCTTGATTTGTTGCCCTCACCCAAACAAACAATTTTGCACATTCTGCAGGATGCTACACAGCAGGGCTTCATTGAAGAGGGCATCCTGACCCTTCCGAATGATTTGGACCACTTGGATTACCAAACCAGCATGAAAGCGAAGTTTGATGAGGAAATCCCGCTCGGTCCCAATTCCCCACCCCCTCGCTTGAGGCGACTCAACCAGCTCCGGTTGCGTACGCCGCCAGCCCGGAACGATCCATATCAATACCAGGATGAATGCAACGCGTCGCCTTCAAACGCTTCGAATGTGGAGGTTGAGGAGCCTGAGGAGGGATTTGTGGAAGTTGAGGGGCCTGCGGTGCCCTTTCAAACTGAGGCTGTGGTTGAGGTGGACGAGGGATTTGTGGGGCCAATGCCTTTGGTGCCTTTGGGGGCTCCTGCGAACTTGGAACTTGTTCATGTTCCTGATGAAGCCCCTTTGAACGCCCCTGTGCCTGCCAAGCTCCGCAAAGGCTCACAAGTCCCGGAGATTCAGGAGTCGGGTGCGACAAAGACGAAAGAGAAGAAGAAACGCGAAAAGGGTGCAACGCCTAAGCAGAATCAGAAGAAGGAGCAGAAGAAGAATGATAAGAAGAAGGTGCAGAAGAAGAAGAAGAAAGGTTCCAAGGAGAAGCAGGTGCAGAAAAACAAGGGCAATGGCAAGAGCAAAGTCAAGTCTGATGTGGAGAAAAAGCTCCACTCTGTTTTTTGGCTAGACCAATTTTCCCAGGGTGGCATATTGCAGTGGGGTCGCAACATCTGAGGTTTACAGCTCTGCCTGGTCCAAAGCGAAGAAGCAGGGCAGGATCGACACGGCTGCTGAGGAAGCTCACAAAGCTCGCATTGAGCAACTTGATTTGTAACTGGTGGCTGGAACCATGATTTTCCATACAAACAATAATGCCCACAGCAACTGAGGTGGGCGATGAACCATGGACCACGTGACTCTCCCATCATCAAAGCCATCCTGAGAGATGCCTAGGTGGGTTTTGTGCGGCCAAGCTGCGTGTTTGCACGCGGCCCGGCCACGCTGCTGTGGCTGACAGAGCCACCGGCAAGACTTTGGGGAAAAGCGAAGTGCGGGCGAGGTTGCATTGGGAAGACCCAACCAAACACAAACAACCCCCAACAATATGCATTTTGCAAAGAGCCAGTAAGCAACTGGAAAGGAGCCACATGCAAATGAAAGGTCTTTTGAGCAAATGGAAACACTCAGCTGCGATAGAAAAATGGGGCCCAGGGTCATAAAGACCGAATCGCATGTTGGGCTTGCTTCAAGGAAACTCCCCAAAATGCAAGGTCGACCTTAAAACGCTTTTCCCAAGTCGGTCGAACTGCAAATACCCTCCTGTCGTCGACTCAGCTGCTTCTTAGGGCCCTAAAAAATGAAAGGTGATCTCCTTTTCGGGGCATGACTAGACATGGCCCAAGAAGGGGAAAACCAAAAGGCTACAAGATGGATTCGCTTTGGGCCTTGGCGAAACGAAGGCCCCATAGGCCAGAACTCCAACGGCCATCGAATCCATTTTGTTTATGTTGGGGCCATTTGGGGGCCCTCTCCTAACTCCTATGTTGGGTGAGCTCTTTTCAGATCGGCGAGCTTGCTAGGGCAGTAGGTTCCTTACATTTCCATGGAATTTGTCTGGAAAAGTTCAATTGCCCAAAGGACCTGTAAACAAACAGTTGGCTGGCTCCCCCTTGGTCCCCCCACCCTAAAACTAGGTTCCCCCAAACCACCCCCAGTTGCCCGGTCCCAGGTAGGAACGACAATTCAAAGTCCTCTTGAATTGACCATTTTCAGTTGGGATCTCGCCCTTGTTTGACACATGGTGCCTTTCATTGGACAAACGAACAAGCGAGGATACCGAACGAGCGGGGATATGGGGGGATTCCCTTGGCGCCATTTCCCATAAACTGAGTCAAGGTGCATTTAGGTGGAATCCTCCCGTATCCCGGGTTCCCCCTGTATCCCCGCTGGCTTTCCTTATTTTACCCCCCCCCCTCATAACAAACGAAACAAAACAACAACAGTGCGATTCCAACCCCACCCCCCCCGTCCTCCTTCAACCAAACCCTGCCAATGCCCGGTCCCCCCGTCCGTCCTCGGCCGCTACTTGCTGCAGCTCCCTCTCCCCGAAGTCGCACACCTCCGCCATGAGGCGCCCCGCGTCGATGAGAGGTAAGGTCCTATCAAATTGGAGCGGCCAATGGGTAGAACAACTTGGTTGCTTTCTGCTCCCCTGCCAAAAGTTTAATTTTTAGCGGTTTAATGGAAAACCCATTAGTTGGCAAAAGTTAAAGCCCTAACATCCAAGGAACATGCACCAAAGAATTAGAACTAATGTTGACCCAGGATTAATAAACCCGTCCCATTATTAGGGAGTTGTTCCCGCCAAAAGTGTCTGAATCCCCGCTAAAAGGGGAAACTCCCCTATTAATCAACCAGGGGTTTATGAATCCGGGGTTAACATTATATATATATATGTATTGGGCATATATTATGCACCCCAGTTGTTCAGTAACCCTGATAAACAAGCAACCCTTTTTTCAACAAACCCCAGAATCTCAGAAGGTTCCAGGGGATTTTCCACCACCAGCATTGGTGAACCAAGTCGCTTCCTGACGCCGAAGCGCTCGGGTCGCAATAGAGACATGGTGTGTCCTTTAGGCCTTTAGCCGTTGGATCCACGGAGGTGTTTTTCTGAACGGAACACAAAGAGACGATGGTTCTGCTCGCTGGACTAGACTATACGCTCTTTTTGTTTGAATTGGTGATCCGATGTTAAATCATGAGACTGTTTTGCCTGTTAATTATGCATTCCTGCTTCCAATGTCATATGTATATTTTGTTTTAGCTATCTCTGGTTTTGTTTTCGCGAGGGTGACGGAATGGGGCATCCCCATGCCATGCCTTGCCGCCCCGCAGAGGGGACCCCGTTGGCACAGGAACGGCCCTAACACCCAACTTCCCGCAACAATGGAACTACAACCATTTTGGGGCCCCAAAATTAATCGGGACCCTTAGGGCATGTCTTTTTGGGGCCCCAAAGCATGTTTCAATAGGACACCTTGAAACTAAACAGGGCAAAGGGAAACTCCTTTCTATATGTTTAAAGTTGACAATCAACTGTTGTTCAAGGGAATCCAGCCACGAAAAGATCCACTGAAGGGTGTCATTTCTTTTTTGGGTGCTCCGTGCTTGGGCTTTGCTGGCGGGTTGACTCTATTGACCACTGGGCACCCCCCAAGCAAGTGCCTGACTTCGGTTGATTTGATGTCTAGCCTTGCCAGCACTCGAAGAGCGTCTGGATGCGCATAAAGATTCTCTTCGCCCCTGGCAGGTGAAGCTAACGCCAGCCGCGCAAAGGCCCCCCCAAATTTGAGTACCTAGTTCTGACCCACACCCATATTATTGTTTCTTTGGTGGGGGGAGATCTTGCACCCCTTTTGGGGAAGACCAAACAAGCAAAAACTGGGAGATGCTCCGAAATGGTGTGGAGGGGGGGAGGGTAGCTTTATGAGGTTGAATTGCTATTGACAAAGCGGTAAAGGCGGCGAAGGGATAACACGCACCACATGACGCCTTTCACGCCAAAAAACACAGTCTTTGCATGAAACCAACAAGTGCTAAAGGCCCCATAATTGTTACTCTTATAACACAAAAGCATGAAACACAGGCGTCAAACTCTAGTTTTTCTATAGGGGCACCAACCATGGCGACTTCTTTGGCTGTTCAACAAAAGCAATGGAACGTCTTCGCCACACATACTTCCATTTGCTTAAGCCCTCTGAAAAATAACAATATTTCCAGTAATGATAGATCCCCTTTAAAACTAACAAGGGAAAATAACAAATATTCTTAAGCAAATGGACGCCTACTGACACCTAACAGCTACATGGCTGCCGCTGTTCCCTATGTACTCACGCATAACACGCATATGAGGTGCAACTCTCGGGCGAACCGCTTCTCAGGCCTCAGAAGCGGCGCTTTACCAAATTGACGCCCTCAATTCTCGAGCGGAGCGGCAAAACAAAAATGATCCAAAACAACAAAAGGTTCCATGGGCTCCTTGTTGGTTCGGCTTTTCTTGTTGCTTTTGCTGTCTAACTTACCACTAACATGGCTGTGGGTCAAAAATGGGAGCCCAAAATGGAACCCTGGTAAATGGAACCAAGGACTAAAACCTGCGGTCCCCTGGTGGCTAAATTTTGACCCAAACCTACATGATCCAACCCAAAAAAGTGACGAAAGCTCTGAAGTGGGGGTCTGGTGCTTGCACATAGCTTGAGGGCCCCGTTCCGAAACCTGAAGGCCATGAACTCAACAGGGAGTGAGCAAGAAGCCCAAGACAAGCTCTTTTCAGTTGACTTTAAGGGGACCCCAAGAAGCAACTCAAAAAACGGCCCAAAAAATAAGTCCTTGAGTGGACCAGCAACAGTCAGGACTTTTGATTTACCACCAAAATGGTTTTCCCAAAAGGCATCAAGTCCCAAGAAAACCCCGGGAGTGAGAGACATGGCCTACAAAATGCGAAACGTACAACTCATTTGCCCAAAGCACCCTTAAATATGGGGTTTACCTTTCGGGGCCACGAATGAAACTAGGAACCCAAACTGGGAAGACCGGAAGACCAAAGTTTGTTCATTTCGGGTCGATTTGCTTTGGGCTGTCCTCAGATCTCCAGCTAAAAGTTTAACTTTACTGGGTTAAATGGAACACTCAACACTAAAAGGCTCAAAAGCTAAGGAACCGGATGGCTGGGAACCACCAAGTAAGCTGCTTTGGACTGATGTCTCGCCGGAGGCGCCCTCGCGACGGCTTCTGCGTCAAGAGCTTCCCCGCCGCGGCCGCCGCGGCGCTCGTCCCGCGCTCGGGCGCCGCCAGGAGCTCCCACAGCGCCGCATGCCGGCGCTTGCCGAAGACGGCCTCCTGCAGGACCGAAAAAACCAAACGGAAGACGGAACTTGTGGGATAAAAAAAATGTGGTTGTTGCAGCCCAACCGAAAAATGAACAGAACCAAGAAACAAAAAAGGTGATCCGACAACAATAAAAACTAGGTAGGGTGTTTGGGGGGGGGGGGTGGCGGTAGAGGGCCCTTGGGGGTAGTGGGGTGGCTAAGGGCTGGAAAGGCCTAAATCATTGGAGTGTCGTGCTGGGATGCTTGCAGAACAAACTACGTCATAATCCTTAATAACGAGCGGCGCGCGTGCCAGCAAGCACGGTTTCCAAGCCTCCATTCAGCAAACATCGGGCTGCTAAAGACTTGTCCGTCCACAGTAGCAATTTCAGATTGGAGGCAACGATCCAACAAGTGGATAGAAGATGCTAAAAGCAGATACCTGCATTTGCTTAAGTCCCCTGGAAAAATATATATTTCCAGTAGCGATCGATTCCCTTTTAAACCAACAGCGGAAAATAAAAGATGTTCTTTACCAAATGGAAGGATATGTCCTTTAGTTGCCCCCAAAAGAAACCTCACAAGAGGTTGCTTCGACCCTTGTGAAGCTAGAATCGCTTCTTCGAACCTGCACGAAAACCGGTTGTCAACCGTTCAGAAACCAAAAGGCGCAAACATTTCTGCTTGAGCAACTGGAAAAGGGAATCGGAAACCAACTAAAAGGCCAAAGGCCTAAGGAACCAGATGCCTGGTAACGTTTCTTGGAACTTGATACCATTGATCCGCTTCTCCCTTCCTCACTTGTCTTTGCCAAAGGTCCCTGAAGATTCCATGTGTTTCTCTCACCGTGGTAAGAATGAGGAAATATGTCCAGTAGTGAAGTCGATTCCCTTTCAAGTCGACAAGGGGAAATAGACTTGTCTATTTCAGCAAATGGAAGCAAGTCTGTGCTTTCAACAATTGAAGGGGATCCGGGTTCATACACGACTGTTGCCTGGTCGTTTCAAGAGAAAGCACCGGGTGCCGAAAGCAAATGTGAAAACCCCTCAGCATGCGGGCCCAATGCAAGTTGATCCCAAAAAGTCGCAGAAAATGGGGATTCTCATTCTACTGTGGCCGCCAAAGCGTCCTGTTTAAGACCAACGAGGCAAAGAAATGCAAACTAAACAACTCACTTCGTGAGTGGATGGGTAAAACCAAGTCTGAACTTTGTACTCACCACTAACATGGTCCAAACAAAAAGTGCCTAGAGTCCAGCAACTTAGAACGTGAGACAAATACATGCCGAAGCAAATGGAAGGTGTGGATGGTTCTCAGGTATCCCTCAATTGGTTGTTTGGATTGGTGGTTTGGCCATGTTTCTTGTGGAGGGTAAATGGTCTTCCCACCCCAAACAACCCAGCAAGCGACCGATTCGGGTCCAAACCACAAGACAACGAGGGAAGCTGAAAACGGGTTATCGCCCAAAATAATCAATTCCGGGGCGCCATCCCTTTTTAAAGGTAGTTTGAGCCTCCTTTCCCGGAAGTGTGGGAAGGTGTGGGTGGTGCTCAGGTATCCCTCAATTGGTGGTTTTGGATTGGTGGTTTCAATTGGTGGTTTGTCCAGGTTTCCCGGCGAAACGTTTCGAGCAACCGAGGACCGAGTCGAGTCGACTCGGACGAATCGCTCCCGGCACACGTCTCGAAGCTTAAAGACCTGCAGCCGCAGGCTGACTTTCTGGGAATCGAAGTAGGCGCCCAGCTTCTCCTCGTCCACCAGCTCCAGCCCGTCCTCGCCTCAAAAAAACAACTTGGCGTGCTGCGAGATTGATTTCTTTGCCAAATTTGCTTGTTCTTGTTGGCTGGCACGTGAATATGGGCGTCTTCTTTTAGAGTGGGACCCCAAAATGGCGTCGGTTTTCCTTTCGGTTGTCCTTTCACCCAAAAGAGTACCAACTCCAAACAAAACGAGACACCCATTGATTGGGGTGATTCATATCTCCTATCTTTTGCTGGAAAGCCAGGCTAAGATGCTAGAATGTTCCAACCAACATAAATACAAAACAATTTTGAGGCAAGTCGTGCAGGCAGCATCAAGATTACAAGCATCACACAAGCACCACCAGCAGCTTCAACAGCAGGCTGGCTTGGCCGGTGACTTAGGTTTGTAATGCTTTGGGGTCGGATGCCCTACCCTTCTGGTGAACATGGAAGCAAACACGGTGTGAAGGCATCTCCCATTCAGGTATCACTTCGGTTGCGAAAGTTGCAAGTAGCAGCCCTCATGGAGCGCTGATAGGAGGGGCTGGGCTATCACCCATTGGGCTTGCCCTTGCCTCCTGGGATTACCCTTTTGGAGGTCCATAAAGCATATTGTTTGTTCTACGGCTCGCTGGTGCTTGCCAAGTTGAAGGTCAGAGAACCAAACCAAGATCAGCCAACCCGGCGTCTCCATGACCCTTCAAAACGGGGCCATGACCCATTATGTTGGATAACGACCCCACGGAATGGTAGCAAAGGCTTCGCTTTTTGCAGCCCCCCCCAAAAAAAAGAAAAGAAAAAGAGGAACAGAACCAAGAAAAGGAACCAACCTTGCCAAGAACAATGAAGAAACAGTTCTGCAGACAGGAAGTTGTACTTTGCTCTTTGCAGCGGGCTGACGCAGCAGCACTTGCCAGCCACCAGGGACTCCGATCCTCTCAGTCAGCTTTGCCTTCAGCTCCAGGATAGTCTCCAGTCCATTCATTGGGATGTTCTCCATGGATCCTTGCACAGGAACGGCAACAAACATGGGGAGAACTGGAGCGAACAAAAAACCACCGCAGCGGGCCCCGGGCCACATTTTTGCCTGACCTAGCCACAGGTAGCCCTACCCAAACCCCAAGAAAGCAACATGACTAGGTTCTCTAGTAGAGAGGTTAGAATAAGGGTACCCTGTTTTCTGCAATCTCTTTTAGTAGGGGAACCCTCCCCCCAAAAAAAGGGTTGAAAAGGGCACCTAGCTCCCCCGCCTCATCCGAAGGCTCCCGCCCTTGGCTTTGCTTCACCTGAATGCTAAGCCCGGATTAATAAGCCCGGTTGATTAATAGGCGGGTGTCCCCTTTTAGTGGGGAGTCAGACCACTGCTGGAGGGGTTTCCACCCCCCTAATAATGGGACGAGTTGTTTCTTAATCCTGGGTCAACATTATTTTAAACCGAAACCTATTCTTAGGTGGGTTGAGTGTTGCCCAGGCTCGCCCTTGGCTTTGCTTCACCCCATAACGAACCCCGCCCGCGCCTGACAGCCTCAGCACCTGCACCTCCATCTCCGACTCCACTGGGGTGCAGCTGGCCGGGGCCGTCTTCGCGACAAGGCCTCCGTCGACCAGCCTTTCCGGGGGGGTTTTGAACCCGACAAACCAGAGGGAGACCTCTCCACGACTTCCTAACCATTGAAAAGACACATGAAGGAAGGCATAATATGAATGTGCTTTTAGTCAAACCTCACCTGCAACAGAGCTTTCGCGCTTTTTTGGGCGCGGACCCAAAATCTTTGTCCAGCCCCAAACCTTTCCTCGCACCTCCTTTACTTGCAAGAAATCCCGTGCCCAAGAAAAGGGGAACACTTTTACAGGTGAGGTTTGACTCAAACCATCATGGGAGTTGAACAAACTGACGTGACCAAGGTTTGAGGCGTTGATTGCACATCCGGATGCGCTTTCAGCTTGATTCAAAGGGAAGCCAAAAGGAACATCAATGCCTCTTCCGGGGTTCCCCTATTTTGACACATATGGTACCATGGCCACAATCTTTTCATGTAAAGCAGCTTGTTTTTGGATGTGTCCTTTTGTGGAACCCTCTTGATTTTACCCTCTAGCTCTTGGCTAGAGAAACCGAGCCTTGCACGACTTAGAGCCCCAGGTGGGCTGCTAGACTTGCCCAGTGGATCCCAAGCCACTTTCAAGTAGGTAACCCTTAAGGCCATGTTCCTTTTTCTTTTTTTAACCAGGCTGGCTCCCTTGGTGACCTATTGCTGGTCAAAAAATCGTGCCATAGAAAAGAAAAAGGCCAAAAACCCGTCTCTTTAAGAAGATTCGTGCCAAAAGGGGTATTATACAGGGAAGTGGAATCAGTGGGTTAGACTTCGACACCCCGGAGAAAAAGAGGTCACGCCGTGTCTGGGGCTTTTAGGAGATCAAGAATCAAGAAGGCGAGGCAAAAGTCTGGCAACTGCTTGAACACCGCCCGGTGTGCTTTTTCACAAGAAAACCTTGTCTGGGATGTTTCGATATAGAATAGAAATCACCCATTCTGGGGGTCCATGGGACGCCCATATTCAACCAACCCCAGCTCGTTGCCGAAGTGCCAGACGAGTTAAAGCTGTGATGTTCGGACCAATGGGATACGAGCTCGCGAAAAGGTCGGCTTCCTTCCTTGTCGGTGCACGCAAGGGCAGCCAAGAAAGGTTGCAGCTGGCCCCATGAAAGTGAAATGCTCAAAATGATCCAACGCCATGTTCACTTGGACCCAAAGTCCAAGTGGTCCAAAGTCCAAGTGGTCGCCTTGCTTTTGGCCTACGCTCACACCATGCAGCTTCCCAAGAAACAACGCACGCACACACGCACACGCCAAAACCAGTTCAGCCAACGGGCCGGCTCCAACCTCTCTCCCTCTCTCTCTCTCCCCAAGGGCGCCCTGAAGGGTCTCTTCGATCTGCTTGGCCGGCAAAACCACCTGCCAGGAGCCCGAGACTGTCAAGGCATGCTAAGGGACCGGTTCTCGAAAAGGAGGAGGCTCCAATTTTAACCTGCAGAGCAACTACTGGATTTGTGTTGTGTTTTGTCCTAGGGACGAAAAGGCTTCCCCAGAATTAGCTCCCCCTTTTCCTTTTTTGCTTATTTGGTGTCCCTTTGTTTTCCACTTTCACCAGGCAAAAAAGATATATATATATATATTTGTATAAGTATATATATATATATTTGCTGGGGTCCTCTTCTTCCAGCCTAGTTTACAAGGGAATCGAACATCATTCCAGGATACCGTAGGTGGTGCAGGATTTTGTCCTCATTTCCCGAATAGGCTGCAAGCTGACTGGCTGGTTGTACGGTTCCAAAGAGGTCCCCATGGTTCCCAAGGAGGGGGTCCCTTGAAAGGCAGCGCCGGCCTTGCCTTCACTAGCAGCCCCTATTGGGAGGGGCCGTGACAACCATGCGGGTAACTGGTGCCCCTTCTTGTCACGATGGGAAGGTTTTTTGAGGAAGAGTTCCGTCAGGTCGGAACTTGTCCATTCCCCAAAGGGATCAATGGGGCTGCCCTGTGATCTGTTGGGTTGCCAGCGCGCCTTTCTTTTGGGCAAACCAAAAACAAACAAACCATACATCCCTTGGCATTCTAGGGGTAACTTCCCCATTCTTTTCACGCGTCCTTCTTTCTAGCAAACCTCCGGAAACCGAGGGGAACTGGCTGGTTTCTGAAAAGAACGATGGCTGAAAAGAATGGAAAAGGAATCAACCCCTAGAGGCATGGTTGTTTTTTGGCAGCCCCCGATCCAACAATGATCCAAGAACAGCCCCCCAGCCTGCAGCATCTCCGCACAGCACTTGGTCCCAAGCGCCCCAGCCCGGTGAGTCAATTGGTGGGCCTGCGATTCAAATGGAAGCACAGGGCTCCGGTAGAACGACACACCTGACTAGCAGCGAGTCGTGGTTGAACCGTCTCCCACATACTATCAACACTGCGTCCTTTGGCTGGTCAGAACTGGGCCAAGCAAAGTCCCCGGAAAACCAGAAGCTTGGTTTTCGAGGCGAACCCCAATCGTGGGAGCAAACCCCTAATCTCCCCAAACTAATTCAAAATTGGGCACTACTACACCAACAAATTTCTCGCCGACCCCAGAGTACAGTCGTATCAAAGGACTCCAAAGCAATTAGAATGCTGATTGCAACATATTATTTCCATTGCACTTCTACGGCTTGCAATTGTGAACGGACAAATCGAACCTTGGGCACTTCCTCAGTTCCTTTGGGAAATAAAACCTATCCTTTGGGGGGCATGACATTAAAAAATGCAAAGAAAACCAACAGGTCAACATTGGGCACCTCCACTTAAATTCTGTCCTGGTGGTACAATTGAGCCTTCACCCGCCTGGTAAAGGCCAAACACTTCGGAAAGTGAAGTGACAAAACAAAGGGCACCTTTCCTAGGTTGACGTTGGAAGGGGAGCACAAAATTAAATTTTAGCAATTAAGTGGGGATTTCCCACTAAACCACAAGAAGCAAAAATGTAAAATGTGTCCCAACAACAACCATGTTTCATCCGATTTGTAAAATAGAGCCCCCCCTAAAAAAGAATAGTCAGTGAGTCCGAATTTCATTTTGTCGGACTAAAAGGACAGCAAAACACAACTACGCTGGGTGGTTTCAAGTTCTCAAATAGATACGCAAACTGCCCCAATTGTGAGAACCCTCATGCAACCGATTCAAGTTGGACAAGGGATTTCCGTAGGAACAAGAGAAGGATCTCATGAAGGTCACGTATCCTGGACCGGCACCCGAGCTCGAGTCGGATTGCCGAAATGGCTATGGGACAAAGCCCCCCAGGGAACATCCCAATCCCCACTAAAATAGGTTCTAAAATCGGTGGTGCACCGAAAACCCCAAAATGGGATCCCGTTGGTGTTGACCCACGGCCAAATGGCAGGGATGGCATATGCACGGCTTGGTTGAACCATGGCTCAAACAACCATTTAAAGAACAAACTGCCTCCCAGCCGGGCTCTGAGGGGATCCATGTCTTACAACTTTTGATAGCACAATTCCAGCCTTAACCAAAAATCATGAGGGCCTGGTTATACATTCGGCTCTAGTTACTCACTAACGCAGTATATCACAAAGGTCCACCTTTCGTCAATGTGAATTGGGGGTGTGGGTCCCGATCTAGCCTCAACTTCGTGCAGCCCACACCGCTGCTGAACCGCTCCAATTGCAAGGCGCAAGCCGCGAAACAAGACAGAATCTCAGTTGCCGAAAGGTCCCAACAAAAACAAGACATTTCCCTTTTGGGGCCATGACCCAAAACACAAAACCCAAACAGGGGAAACTAAAAGGTCAAAAGGTTGTTCTTGGGCAAGCAAGGAATTCTCTAGCCATGGCTGGCCCTGTTCATGTCTAGGGAGCTGCCAGGGCTTGCCGTAGACAAAATCTGCATCAAATAGTCCAAAACCGTATCTTAAGCAAAACGCAGCTTGCAGCTGACATGTCTATCCAAACCCAAGTGAGAAACATGACAAACAGAGTCTATGACATGTTGGCTCTTCATGGCGCCGGCCACTGGAGAATTCCTCACTCTTTCCCGAAGCGAATCCACCTTTTGACAAATTCTAGCTTTCGCTTTCCGGGGGTTCCCACTTCCCACTTGCTTGGGCGAATCGACCTGTCCCCATGTTTTCTGTCCCCCGTTGTGGGTTCCGATATCTTTTTCGGGTGGCCCGCTTCAGCGAAAGAAAAATCGCTGCAAGCTCAGCGGCCAGCAAGATGGCCCGCTTCAGCGCGAAGGGCTCCTGCGAGGTTTGAGCACCGAGCACCGCCGAAGCCCCTTCCACCCTGCTGCGAGGAATGGAATGAATCCAGGGGGTCGTTTTGCTACCTTTGGTGGAAAAAAATCTAGTGAAGGATTCCTTTTTGAGGGGGTCGCCCATTTTCTCAGAAAAGGACCCCCTGAGTGAATCTGAGAAAAAAAATCCCGAAGAAAGGGGGCCAAAAGGATGGATGGCTTCTGGGTCATGTCTCATTCCCTGACCAAGTCACTTCCGAAAGAACTGGATGGCCCAAACAAAAGGAAACTGGGTTTGTATGCCAGCAACAACTTGGTTGACGTTGGAAGGGGAGCAAAAGAATCTAAAGTTCAGCAGTTAAGTGGGGATTTCCCACTAAACCACAATAAGCAAAAATGACAAATGTTTCCCAACAACAACCATGAACATGGTCCGAACCACAGAAAAAAAATAAGTCCCTGAATGCAGGAAGTGAGCCTATGAGTCAACAGACCCCCCTCAAATACATGGATTTTTTGTGGGGCCAGCATCTTTGATCATCGCGGTCCTCGTTGAAATCCGAAGTTAACATATGGCCGGCTGAAGCTTTTAACTCACTTCCGACCAAGTGGATTGGCTCAACATTTTTCCCACAAGGGTCCAATCCCGAAAAGTATTTAACTAGGTCCCCCAGTAAGTAGAGAAGTTAGAATAAGGGTACCTTATTTTTTTCTGTGGTCTACTCATGTCTACCCCCAAAAAAAAGGCACTAAGGGCACTACTGGGAGACCTAGGATTCAGTCCAACTCGGGCAATGATGGAACCAAAGTGAACTTCTCACTTCTTGAACTTCTCACGAAGACATTTCCCTCAGTGCCGTCTACGGAACCCCCAGTTGCTTCCCTCGGGCTGTGCCAGAAAAACTCAGCGGCCGATGTGTGTTGTGCGTCTATTTAGATAGGGTACCAATCGGGATTCGGCAAGGTGTCCGTGCAAAACCATCCCAAGTCAGCTTCCCTCAAAATGGTGGCTTGGAACATGGTGGTTTAGCGGTTCAGGCCACTTTCCCATACCCTCTCCAAGAACCAAGGCATCAAATCCCCAAACCACCAATCCAAACCACCTATTCGGGGATACCTGACCAAGGGTGCTGGCAAAAAACAACAACACTGACCCCCAGTGCTAGATTTCTCAACGGAACCCCCAGGCTTGAGCGCGGCTGCGCTATAGATTGCTTCGCGAATTTACTGCTCACATGCCCGACAATGAGCTCGAAATCAAGGTACCTTTGTTTGATGCCAGATCTAAAGCAGAACAAGACCGCACAAACACATAAGGTCAAATCAAATTTCGAGTCGCCTTGGTTGCAGGTGAGACTAGGCATGCCAATCATATTTGCAGCAAACAACTCGTGATACTGTGGATGGACGAAATCCCGCACCACCTAAGAAACCCTGAAATGTTGATTCCCCTGTAAAAACCAACGAACAATGATTTCCCATGCTCTCAAAGTGGTGCAGGAATACGTCCATCCACAGTATCAATACGGGATCCCCGTTCCTATGGCTGCCTGGGCACTTTGAAAGAACTTCTGCTGGCATCACAAGAGAAAGGGCCCTTTACAGCCCTTGGTGTGGTAGCAAAACACGTTGCTTGTTGCAGCCCCTGACTCAAAATGAACCGAACCGGAAAACCCAAGAACCTAAAGCTTGGTTGACGTTGGAAGGGGAGCACAAATTTAAACTTTAGCAGCTAAGTGGGGATTCCCACTAAACCACAATAAGCAAACATGTAAAATGTCTCCCAACAACAACCATGAAAGCATGCAGACAACCGTGAAGGGCCTGAAACCCCCAAGTTTTCAAATTGATTCTCAAAGCCGCCACTGTCCGAGCAGGACACAATGTCCCAACGATGCCACTGCAAGGGTCTGTCCCCTCTACATCCATGCATCCACCATCCAAATTCTATGTCAAGGGCAACGAAACTCATTCCATGCCGATGAGAATTGGAGAAATGGATGGTCAGTTTCCAACATCCAAATTGCCAACCCATGCAACTTCTATCTCAAAAAGCTGGGCTTGAGTGAGAGCCCTCACCCGCAAGCCTCACGAAAAACATCCCAACCGGGGCCCCTTCGCATGACCGGGGCCTTCCTCAGACGAGGCCTTGAGATGGTCTCCCAAACTTCTATTTGCTTTTTCGCCCGTTCAGTAGTGAATTCGATGTCCCTTAAACTGTCAACCGGGGAATAACAACGAAATCATTTCAGCAGATGGAAGCAAAGGCGTTCCAAAGATTGGTGAAAACTGGGCGCCTGTGATACCTTTTGTGGTTGATTCCGGGCCAAGACGTGTCACAGAACCTGGCAACCCATGTCCAAGCTTCCAACCATAGACATTACTGGAGCGCCCACACCTGGGGCACACACGGGAAAAATACTTCTGTCGTTGTTCCCAAAAAATGAGGAATCGACCCTCAAGAAATACTGTTGGACAAAAACCTGCACCTAAGAAAGCCTGGTTTCTGATGATTCCCTGGTAAATGCCAACAAACGTTATGGTTTCAACCATGGTTTCAAAGTGGTGCGAAATGGATCTCGGCCATCCAAAGTAACATGTCCACCACATTTTCCAGTAGTGAAATCAATTCCTGTTAAAGCCCACAAGGCTAAATCAGCGTCATGTTTTCAGGACCTCAGGGACTCAAATAGACTCAGCACGCCGGCTCTTCTTCGGGTAAAACCAAGGCAACCGTCGATTCGTAGCCATTCCAGCCCGATGAGAAAGGGCTTGATCACTTGTTGGAGTCATGGCCCTTTGAAAATGGGGTCAAGCGCCCCTTTATTTCTCACTGGCTGAGTGGATGGCCCAAAAAAAGTCCAAACTTTACATTTACCACTAAAATGGCCCAACCCCAAAAAGTTCTTACAGTTCATGAACTCAGGAAGTGAGATTTTGAGATTTTTGCGCCTTCCCTCAAGACATAACCGAGTCGTTTGGGAGGCCGGCCTGCCCCCTTTTTCAGCTTCTGCCCCTCGGGATCCTGGCGGACCTCCACGGGCCAGGCATCTGCAGGCTGCTTGGGCTCCTTTGGCCAGGTTCGGAGGTGCAGCCGAAAAGCGAACAAGTCATTGACTTAATCTGCATATAATATATATATATATATATATATGTATATATATATATATTTGTGTGATATATACTCTATATATATATATATACATATTAAATAAATATAGGTATATGTTTGTAAATATATAGGTTTTTCATGTTTTTAGGGGACCCCCTCAAAAATGGTGGTTTTCCGGTTGGTTTCTTGGTAAAAAGGGGCTACCCTCCACAAAAACAAACACCGATACACTTTCTGGATGCTAGAGGGACCCCCCCCCTGTAAAAGAAACAGGAAGTAACAGGAGAGAAGGACAGAAAGCGCTGGTGTGGGTCAAGTACTTTCGCTGATCACATCTCATTTCGTTGTGGCATTGGGCGTTTTCGAGGGCTTCCCATGCCGTGTTCAAAAAAACAACATGCATATCCCCACACCGCAAATCCAAACTACCAAGGAGTGAGGAGAGTGAGCAAAATAGGCGGGAAGTGAGAAGCAAAGGAGTGGCTCTGAACCGGGAGCACTGAGATTGTGTTCGGCAGGGCAATCCTCACTTGCCCCAAGGACCTGGCAATAAAAGGCTAAGCTGTCGGGACCTCTACTAAACATGGACCAAACAGGGAACAATAGGTGTCCTTTTAGGTTGGAAATCGATGGGTTTCCCTGGTAGATGAGGAAAAAAAAGCCACCAGGCAAACCAGGAATCGCCATCTATTTTTCTAGCAAAACAACCAAAAAGGAGACCTATGGGAACAACCAAAAGGTGAACAGGAACTGAGCATCATTGAGACTATGCAGGACGGGCTGTGATAAGCCCGAACGCGGCTTAGGGCTTAGCAGGCTAGACTTGGGCCACATTTGAACCATAGGAGCACGGGTCTTGCATGAATCATAGAACATCAGCGGATATGTCCCAGGGTGATTTCAAGTTAAAGGCACGTGATCTGGGGGAAAAACAAAACAAACTAAAAATATCCTTGATCTATCCAGCTTTCACGCACCAACCGAGCGTAGGTTTGAGCCAATCTTGCGAACCAACGCAAAATCAGTCGAACACAAATCCCAGTCGAAGCTCCGAGAGGGTGGGGCAGGACTCCTGTGCGAACGGGAGTCCACAGGCCACCCGAAGCTAAAGTCATCCGAATCGTTCCAAATCAGAAATCCGATACCTCCCAACTTCTAACGTAAAAGCCAACAGAAAACCACGGCCAAATGGGACCCAACGGAACGTCCACCCCTCCAAATCGACTTGAAACATCATTGAACAGCTAGTTCAAGCCACAATCTGTTGGTTTCACTTAGAGAGCACGGTCTATTGGTTCTCCACCCTTGCGCTAGATTAAGCCGTCCTGGAACTCGAGAATGAGCTTCTGGAACACTTGGGGAATGATTGGCATCACATCATGTTTCCCAATTCCTCCGTCTGTGCCAAACAGATGCGCTGGATGCGCTGGATTCTGGGCCATATGGTATATGGCCCGGAAAATTGAAATGCGAAAGGGGTCGAACGCCAAGTCATCCGAGAAAGGAGACCGAACGGATCTAAGGAAAACGGCCGAGCCATTCAATCTCAACCCTGGGATATCCTGAGCCCAACCCCGCATCAAGAACAAGTACTTTCGAGTATTTTGTGTTTCTTGGTTGCTGTTGACCCTCTGCAACAAGTATTCAACTCTTTGTGGGTCCAATGCAAAGTCCCACCAGTTTCAACCAAAAGGGTTCAAGCCTAAAGATCTGTCACCAAATAGCCATAAAGTGAAAATTTCAGAAACCGTGCCTAGCTCCTCCAGTAGACAGCTTGGAATAAGGGTACCAACTTTTTGCTGTAGTCTATTTTTGTAGGGGAACCGTTTTAACCCAAAACACATGGTACAGAAGGGCACGACTAGCTGGGGGACCTCGACATCCATCCCCTCGTCCCCTCGGACTCCGCCTGCGGCTCTTCGGCAAAGGTGCGCACTTTGGGCCACCGACGCGCAGCAGGCTTGGCCATTTCGATCGGAGAGCCGTGCGGAACTATGGGCGGAGGGGTTTCTTGAGCCGAGTTGGGACGGGGGGTTGCCGCCGTTCGTCTTCCATTTGCTAGTGCCATGGGGACAAATACTGTGGGTCCCCCACGAAAAGTTTAACTTTTAGTGGGTTAAATGGAAACTACCACTCAACACTAAAAGGTTCAAAAGCAAAGGAGATGGCTGGGAACCACCAAGAATAGACATGTCCAGTGCCAGCATCCCCTGCTGAAAGACCCATGTGTAACATCTGAAGCACTGTCCAAAAAGCGGTGGTTGGCGGGTGCTGGAGTGATAGCTTTTCGTGAAAACCAGAGGACAAATACCATATTCCTACGCAAATGGAAGGAATCTTCCAGCTAATGGGAACCCCGGACGTATCACCCCCGATTGATTAATAGGGGTTGTGCCCTTCCTCGTGGTGGTAATGATGAACTCGGCTTACCAGGTAGGCTCACTGCTGGTGCAGGCCGCCCCGACAACTACATCTCCCCTTTGAACACTGCTCCAAAAAGGACATTTAAACCAAGAATAATACAGGGACGTATAGGGACCTCTGTCGAAGTAAGCTCAGGTGATGCGTGAAACCACCTGTGACCCGGCATGCTACCACTCCCGACTCCCCCGACCCCCTCGCGGCATCGGATTTTCGCTTGGGCAGCCATAATCTTCGTAGCTCTGACTGGCCAACGCCGCCTGAGACTCTGAGAGCTTGAGCGCGGAATGGGCATGGCTTCCTTCCAATTGGTGGTTTGGCTTAAGGTGGTTTGGTGAGAAAGGAGGGGTTTCTGAACCAGGGGTTTGAATCCACAAGAATCAGGGGTTTGAATCCCAACCACCAATCCAAACCATCAATTTATAGGGGTTATCTGAATGGTCAACAAACCGCGGTTGGGCCAACAAAAAGCAATCAGACCCTGGTCTACGTTAAAGGGAGCAAACATGAGGTTGTCGGCCCGACCCGGCAACAAACACATTGTTATTGGTTCAAATGGTCATGACCAAAACGTGACTGCCAGCAGAAATGATCAGACTTGAGAAAGGGCGGTCCGAACGCCGGCATTGTGGCATCCAGTCCAGTCCGCACTGGGGCAGTCACCCCCCTGCCAAGCCCCAAACAATTGTCAAATGCATCCACGGAACGCCCCAGAAGCAATCTTGCCACCCTCTCCCGAACAAAATCTCGGCCCATCAGGATACAAAACAAATCGTCCAATTCCAGTTCGTATCTGGTCCCTAGCTTTAACATATTTGGGAGTTGATCAAAAGGTCCTTTACATGGGATGTCCATTTGGGAAACACCACCCAAAAAGATGGGATGTCCCACTAAACGGGACAAGTTTCCCATGGTCAAAGCAGGGGGCCGAAGGAAAGAAAGACTGTGGATGGACGAAATCCGCTTCGCACCACCTAATGTCGATTCCCCTGCCAACAAACGTTATGGTGTCAACCATGGTTGCTTAGGTGGTGCAGGATTTCGTCCATCCACAGGATCACCCCCCCGCCCCCTTTAGCCACTAATTTCTACGCCTCCAGCGCCTCATCCGCAAGGCCCACAAAGGTTCGCCATGCCTGGCGCGTGAGATGCAGGGAATGAGTTGGTACGACCCGATAAACCATCCAACTGGTGGTTTCCTTTAAGGAAATCCCCAGGTTCATTCCCGCATTCCTCGCAGCAAGTTAAGGACCCCCGAAGTGGTGGGTTAAAGAGAAACAACATGTACTGACTTTATAACCCCCACATTTGTCAAAATAATGAGCCCAGCGCACTTTCTGGCGTTTCCTAATTGCACAACTTCCAGATGGCCGCTGTACGAAGCAAACATCAATGGTCCACGGTGACGTGTCCTTTTCAGCACCCACCTCCAGCAAGCACCGCACAACCTCCAAATGGCCGCTTTCAGAAGCAACACTCAATGGTGTGACGCCTTGGCTGTCTGCCTTGTTCTTGTCAGCTCCCACCTCCAACAAGCACCGCACAACTTCTAAATGGCCTTTGGAAGAAGTAAGACTCAATGGTGTGACGCCTTGGCTGTCTGCCTTGTTCTTGTCAGCACCCACCTCCAACAAGCACCTCACAACTTCCAAATGACCGCTGAAAGAAGCAAAATGCGACGGCGTGCCAGCAAGGTCGTCAGCTTTGTCCTTGGCAGCACCGTCTTCCAGCAAGAACCGCACAACTTCTAGATGGCCTTGGTCAGAAGCAACATGCAACGGTGACAGGCCCTGGTGGTTGTCTGCCTTGTCCTTGTCAGCACCCACCTCCAACAAGCAACGCGCAACTTCCTAATGGCATTTCGAAGAAGCAACACTAAATGGTGTGCCGCCTTGGCTGTGTGCCTTGTCCTTGTCAGCACCCACCTCCAACAAGCACCGCACGCCTTTTTAAGAAGCGAAATGCAATGGCGTGCGCCCAGAGTCGTCTGCCTTGTCCTTGTCAGCACCCACACCCAACAAGCAACGCACAAATTGCAAATGGCGTCCAGAATCAGAATGTATTGGTGTGCGCCCAGAGTCGTCTGCCTTGTCCTTGTCAGCACCCACCTCCAACAAGCACCGCACAACTTCTAAATGGCCTTTTTTAGAAGAACGATGCAAAGGCGTCAAAAGGCCGTCCCGTCCATCATGAGGCTCTTCCAGCAGCTCTGCCACAATGCGTGTGCTGCCTCTTGCAGCCGCTTGCAGCAAATCCTCGGTTGCCTTGGCATATGGGCGCACCACTGCCGTCAAGTCAGTCTTCTCCCATGGATTCTCAGGCCCCAAATAGCGCAGGCTACTGACCAACGCAAGCTGCCTGAAGTTTCGTAACGCCAATTGTGTGGCCAAGTGGCGTCGCAGAGCATCAAAAAAGCAGCCGCTGTCTTCATGTCTTGTAGCTCGTCCCACACGGGTCCCGAACTCAGTCGTTGTGATCACTTCCGTGCCAAGCAAGCGAACACACGCCATGTTTCGATTCTAAGCTCGAGCCAAACGGAGCGGCTACGCATTTGGAAGGAGCGGAAATCCATGCATCTGCATCTGAGTGAATTAGAATATTTCACCAATCTCTTTTCTCTTTTCTCGGCCATGTCTACTGCACTCAGCGCGAGCGGAATGCAGCAGGAACCTATGTTCACCCCTGTAAAGAGGGACACAACCACCAGACAGCACTGTGCCTCAACTACGGGTGATGTCCTCCACGGAAGACGTCACTCCTTGTAAAACACACATGCAGGCTCAAGGAGAAACCTCGGAGCCACTACCCAATGAATGCACCTACGCGACCCAGGCCATGGGGGTATTTGCACCCCGCACGAAAAAAACCGCTGTCCACACAGGCACACCGTGTGATGGCCGCCATCACCAATCAAAGGTGAGCACTAAGTGCTAGGGCACATCAAAAATTAAACAAAGGTCCAGCTACCAGCACATCGTAACAAGCCACCAGTCCAGGATGCACTACTCCAGACGCCCCGACAACCAGGTGCACAGGGAATCAAGACACCATGTGTGCCACCCAGCCAAACCCAGGGATCACCTTCCCCACCAGAGCCTCAATGCATCCACCTGCTGCCCAGCCATGGGGCACCTGACACAAAACTCGATACTGTATGCACAGGCACGTCCCAATGATTGCACGCAAATAAAAACCCGTAGCAGTGTAGACCAACATGAAACCCAGCCTCCAACCCAGGATTTAACCATTGACCCAAGCTCGACTGAGCTGCACCTTCTGCTCTTCCCACCCTTGCATCATTGCCAGCTCCTAGGACACACTCCAAGATGACCACTTGGATGGTAAAGAGGCACAAGTTCGTGAATTGCCGGACAGGGTTGGGCTCTGTGGCCAAGCAGCGCAGCGCCTGGCAAATCTTTGGCATCCACTCGACTTCCAAGATGGGCTCGATGCCCGCATATGTCAGTCCGACTCCCATCGCCCCAACGGCGCGTGCCAAGCTGCTGTCAGAACAAACCTTGCGCCAGGAAGCAAAGGCCTCCTCAACAACCTCAAGGACTGACGCCCCTCCACCATGTGCCTGTGCCGAACAGGTATTGATCAAAACCAAATGTCCATCACCACGGGGCCAGCCACCAAAGACCACCACCCTTTTCTGATGAAGGAGCGTGTGTCCAAGCATCTTCCCAGGGACTGCCTCCTCCACGATCAACAGCGGGGTTCTCACCCGACTGAAAACCCCCACCTCCATGGCTGGCGATCTCGGCTCTATCCGCCGTCCCAGCTCGGCCACTGGGAGGCTAGAGCCACGAGCTATTTCACCAATCTGAAACTTGCGGTGGTTGGGGGGGTTATTCCCCACATAAACCACCATTTGGGGTGAATTCGGTCGTGTGAGGTCGTTATAATTCACCCAGATGCATCCATAAGACTTGAACAAGATAGCTGGAAGTGGAATGCGATCAAGCCACTCAAGGCACTCAAGGCACTCAAGCCACTGCAAAAAGACTGAGGAGCGGGGTAACGTGGTTGGCAAAGGAACGGATTTCTGCTTCACAGCGCTGGGGAACGGAGCGGCGCAATGGATCAGAGGAGCTTCACGGAAGGCGGTAAGAGAGCAACGCAGCGGAGCAACGGAGCAAAGCCTTGGGTGACGTTGGGTTTGGGGAGGGAAAAAAAACATTTAGCAGTTCAGTGGTTGGATTTCAACCACTACACCACAATAAGCAAACATGTGAAATGTTTACCAACAACAACCATGAAGCAGCCAACGGACCGAAGCAACGGAGCAATGGAGCGAAGCAGTTTTGCACCACACGCTTTGCGAGAGCTCTGAAAATATGATTTACACAATCGAAGTCTACCGTTGGGTGAAATATGGCACATTTCGAGCGGATTGGCAAAAACATGTTTACCGCCGAAATCGTGCAAACCCAAGCTTGGTTGCTTGTCGACCCCTCTACAAAAAGTGACTCACTTCTTTGTGACAAACCCTCGATGTCCGCCACACAACGTCTAGAGACCCGATACCCAATCATCTCTACTCTTGGCATGGTAGCTAACAACTGACTGCTTTTTGCAGACCCCCAGCTAAAAATGAACAGAACCAAACAAAAAAAACAACATGATCCAA